GTTTGTATAAAGAAAAACATCTTACATTGTAATTAAAAAGAACTGTAAGTGGATACTTGTTCTTTCTGCAAGTGAAACACACTCCTACAGTACAACCATTTCAAGTTAGAGCTCTATTTCTGCCAAGGGGAGTGTGAAACGTCTGTGATTTCTTCACTTGGAGGTACAGTAATACTTTTGGCATCTGTTCCTTAAGGATCTGCAGGCTGGAAGTGAGTGCAAGCAAAACTGTCCCCTTCGGTGGGCCTCTTTTTTTCCTTTTCCTTAAGCAGCTGGCAGAGTTACTCTGTTCCTGTAGGATGAGTGTGAATTACCACCGCTCTGTGCCAGTGAACAGAACAGCCTCATTTAAAGGTTGTACAACAGAAAAAGTATTAAGAACAATGCATTTTAGCTACCTTTGAACTAGTTCCTGAGGAGGACTGAAACATTGCTTTCAATTAACAAATGTTATTTAGAACCAAACTGAAGCAGACTTTCAGCTTACAGTCAGGATGTGTGTGGTTTTGGTATGACATCCATCTGAGCACATGATGCTTGGTAAGTGCTGGAGCCTCGGTTATGATTCATTGGGGAGAAACATGGAAAACAATGTCTGTTTTTCAACTGTTGGAGAAATGAATTTAAGGTTGGAATCATGTATAATTTTGCTAAAATAAACCTTCAAGTAGCTTGAATACCTCTGTTAGAAGGGAAGTAAGGGTGATGGGTATGGCTGATGTAATAGTGTCCCACTGCCTGATGTTTGTTCAGGTTCTCACCGATATTAATTGCTAGCTATTTTTTTAAACCAGTGGAGTTGCACTGGCATCTTCACCACTGAAGGTGGAGTCCAGAGTTACATATGCTGATTTTTAAGACAAAGTGGAGTCGGGGGTAGTAAAGCTGTTGGACAGCTGGATTTATTTGTAGTATATATTTTTAAGTTGTTTTTCAAACATGGTCAGAAATCCTTCTTTGTAATTTTCTGCCCTTATGTTTGAACTAAGAGATGCATCTCTATACTTGTTCAGTGCATGTGGAATTTTTAAGCTAATTGACTTCAGTGAAATGTAATTATCTTCAAACACATGCATGATTTGATTGCCCCTTTGGACAAAGCATCTAATATAGAAACAAGAATGACTTCTCTCAATAATAATAATAATAATAGTAACAGGCTTTCAGAAATAACAGAAAATTATTTTTAAAGTTACATTTTAAAATTATTTAATAATATGAAATTGATGAATACTCTATAATAATTTTATGTACAATTGTTTTGCAAGTGGAGTCGGATATCTGTAGGATTTGCTATTTATATTTAAACAGGAGGGACTCAGAAGTGCTGGTATATTTTCACAAGGGCAGACCTATCAGGTTACTATTCTACATGGTGCTGTAAAATTTTTAACTGGGCTCAGAAAAAATAGTATCTGATGTGGAAGTAGAAGCTTCAGGTATTTTTCATTTTTTGCCAAGATTATGTAGTTGAAGGTAGATGAATTGAGGAGAGGATGTTTGAGGAGTGGACTATACACAGTTCCCTGCCCGGAAGAGGAGTTGTTCTAAGTTAGGAAGAGGGAATTATTTGCCTACAGAAAGGGCTAGGGTGTGGTCTGCTGAGATTACTGAGTTGACTCAATAATTCTAGGTATCTTTAGGGAAGGTCTGCCTACTATGCTGTGCTTCTTCCTGGCATCAGACTGATCCTATTTCCCAGTTTCTTGGTCCCGTCTTCCAAAAATCTTTCCAGAAAAGTTTTGTTGGTTTTTTTGGATTGGTTTTGGTGGGTTTTTTTTGGCAATAAAACTATCAGTTCACCAATATTCAAGGCTGTGACTTTTTGTTTAAAGTGAGGAGGAGTGAAATAGGTGCTGTTGTGTAAAATGGAAAATTTCTTTTGCTTGGGGATTTCAGTAGGTTTGTTCATCACTGGTCACTTGAGAGCCCCACCCCCCCCCAGTAAATGCAGCACTAAGTTGTTGAAATCCCAGTTCTAAGAAAAAAACCCAAACAACTGGTGTAGCTACATTTTTTGTTTCATTTTACAAATATTTTTGGTGGAGGAAACAAAGTTTTTCCTTTGAAAAATCAGCTTGTGCTTATTAAAACAAAATGTAATCATTCTGAACAGGGATTATTTTTTTTTCTTTGAGGCAGTGAAAAGTAGGAATCTACTGGAGCTGTATGTGGTTTTGCAGCCTCCAAATGGTTATTTAAATTGTAGTAGAGCAGATAATATTTAGTTGAAAAGTAAGATTTTTGGCTTGCAGCCACTAAAGATACTGCATTGCAGCAAGAATGAGCCATCTACACAGCATTGCCTTTATCACTTGAACAAAGATTTTAGCAATGTCTTTTCATGTTATTATTTCCCAGGCTATCTAATGGCTGTTGTCCAGGTACAAAAACAGTCTGGAGAGGCATACTATTTATGAAGTTCCGTGCTTGCTTCCTGAGGGGCGGTGAAGGATTAGTTTCTTGCGTTCAGTAGCTGTTTCAGTACTGTAATTCAAGATGAGGCTACTGTACTTTAAATATAGAGTCTGTTGTGCTGCCATTAAGTCACACATTTGCATCAGTCATTAGCTCAGAGCAATGCAATTCTAATCTTCTTTCTTCTGAATGCTGATACTGCAGAGTAGTCTTGTGAATCGAAATGGTACCAAAGCTGGCGAAAGATCGAAATGCAGCACTGTGAGAATGTATTTCCTGGTGGTTTGTGTGCTGCTTTATTGTGTCTAAATCTGGCCGATACAGAAGGATTCAAGAAACACATGATTTTCAGAGAACATCTTGAGCACCAGCTGTGAAACCTTAAAGGTTAGATTTTATGGTCGATTCTGCTAATCTGCAACTACTAATTTGTAATTAGTTAAAAGGGACAAGTGATGGGGGGGGATCTGAATGGTTACAAATTGCATTGTTATTCTGTTGGCTGTTCCCTCCTAGAGCACGTCAGGGGAATTTGGCATAGAGAACAAGCTGTGTCCTGAGGTTCTCAAGTCACTGGTTGCCTGGTACCGTATTAACCCTAACTTCTACCATGATAAACGAGTTGAGTTTTGATTCAGGCAGCAATAACAGATTTCTGTACAGCCAAGTGACTCTTGAGCAAGCTGAAGAATAGCACTGAAGAATTGTGATCAGTTTAGCAAAGGTCCTATTCCTGAATACAGCAGAGGGCTGGACCCTCATCTTAGGAAAGATTATAGCTTTTCTAGCTCTTATGTGAGAGGAGCCACAAGGATGACAAAGGTATGGGAACAGTTTTTTATTTGAAGAACTTAGTACCCTGGAGAAAAGGGTTGTTTAACAGAGGGATGAACTCAGGAGTGGCATGAAGATGATAAGCAGGGAGGGATGGCTTTGTCTCTCTCCTAATACAAGAACTAGGACAATAGCATTAGATTTAAAAAGAGCCCATGTAGAAAAGGTACTTAAGAAGGTATGTAGTTCAAACCGTGGCATCCATTGCCACAGGATGCTGTTGAGGTTAAAGTGTACATGGTCTCAAAAGGCACTTAAACAAATGCTGCGCAACACAGCAACCAGCCCTGCCTGCCGGGGCAGGATTAGAGCAGAGCACCCCCGCACCCCGTGTTGGCGTTTTAGATTCTCCCCGAGGCACGCCCTTGGCAGCCAGAGGCTGCCAGCACGGCTGCATGGCCGTGCCGGGTTAGGGGCGCTGGGCGAACTTGAAACCTGCAAGGTTTTTCTGCAGTATTTTTGTTGATAACCTTTGGGGTTCCATATTTTTGTCTGTTGGCAGGGCTTTTTTTTTTTTTTTCCCTTCAGCTGTTAGCATTCTTTTTTGAGAGACTTTCTCAGATGTTGAAATAGGCAGTAGGTTCTTGGAGTTGTAAGTTATTTCAATACTGAATACTATTCGTACATCTTAATTACCAGTATTATAGAAAACATTCTTCTATTCCTTTTCTGTCTCTGCCTAATATTCATCAGAGCATTTTTAAAGATTGCTCCTGCATATCAATTTGCTATGATATGCCTAAAAAAGTGGGGGAAAAAATGCCTTGGATTTTGCCGACTCATACACAGGACACTTCATTAGGACATACATTAGCACACTTCACTGTTACTTCAAGAATCTTGTGAAGACAGAACGTGTTTTCCGTAGAACCAGCTTTCTCCTCTAGTGCTTTCCTGTGTGATAGATAGACCAAGTTTGCTATTTCACATTGGGGCACTAGGTATTGCAGTGTGTTAACTCTTACCATACTGGTGTCTTCCAGACTGCCAATCATACACACGCTTACCTAGGTAAGTGGTTATGAACGACTGCCTTCACCAGTATGAGTGAAGTACCTTTCTTTTGATTCACTGGTTTCCCTTTAATGATGATTATATTGCTGTATGGAAACTGAAATATCTCATATGTAAGTACAAAATCAGTATTGTTCTAATTGCAGTGAATGATAGGCTGATTATGTGAGTACATCTACTGAGATTTACTGTTCAGTAGTAGTTCGAAATTACTCTTTCTGAAGCACAGTTGTAATTAAATTATTCTGAGATAAGTGCACCGTGGTTTGCTTTTCCTTCATTTTCTGCTCTGAAAATTTTGCTTCCTGCCTTGACTCACTGTGTCTTGCTGATATCAGCCATGTCTTTTGAGTAAAATAAACTTCTCTTGGGCTTCAGCAATGCTTAGAGAATATTGCAGTGTTAGGTGACAGAGTGGGATTAATAGCATGTTAAGCGAGGAGGTGTCTGATCTTAACAAAGCATGGTCAGTTGTTACTTTAACTTGGTGCCTTTAGATAAGTGTCTGAAGAAATTCTAGGCTGAAGAAAACTGTTGGTTGCCAGAGCTTGCACATGTAAATCATTGGCTTCTTTGCAGGGAGGTGGCTGGTTAGACCAGGGATACCTCACAGAGGGATTCTATACCCCTCCTCACAACCAAGCAAAATGCATTAAAGGGATATAATCTTGCATATCTTGTTATAGATTGTAACAATAGTAAGTCCTTTGACCCTTTTTTCTTTCACATATTAGAAACAAGACTGCCAATGGAGATTATCGGAAGGAGCACAGAGAGAGGAGTCGCAGCCCAATAGAGAGGGCTGCTGCCCCAACAATGAACCTTCATGCCAATCACATGTATGCCTCAATCCCAAGCTTGACCATGGATCAACCTCTAGCACTGACCAAAAACAGCATGGATGCAACCCGCACAGTTGGCATCACACCTACACTGACTTCTGTGGAACGGCAGCAGGTACTGGCTTCTAGATTGACAAGAAACTCTGAGTGGTTGTAGGAATCCTTGCTGTAGACAGAATGAGGACTTCCCAGGTGTAAGCAGAACGTATTGTGAGTTACAATAGGTAGGCGATACTATTCTTCAGGCAAAATGTATTTTAAAAATGCACAATGAATGTCACACAGCTCATTGTGTTTAATGTGAATAAATCGCTGATGTTTAAATGTATCTGTCACAGATGTCTTGGCCTTCCTGCTTTTTCTGATGCTTTGCTAAGCTTGTGAATGCATGTGTTTTAATTGGGAATGCAAAGTCTGTGGTTGAGCAAAGCTCCAGTACCTGCTAGGCAATAACTGATGCAATTCACAGGTAAAGAGGGTATTCACCTGTGCTCCTCTTGGCAATCAGTGTGTGCTTCCTCCCGTCTGTCCTGGCTCTCTCCTGCTGGGACTGCTGAAGAAGAGGTAGAAGACAGAAAGGGCATAAAGGGAGAATTTTGCACTGAATTATGCAGGTGAAAGAAGCTGGAATGACCTTAGTTGTTTTAGCCAGCCAAAAGCATTCATTGCATTGTTCAGAGCAATGTTTTATCACTATTTCATAATGACTTTTCCTAAAGCAAAGTAATGATTTTTTATTATTTCATAATTTATTTCCATATGCTGGAGTGGTTTGATTTGGTTTGGTTTTGGCTGGTTGGTTGGCTTTTGGCTTGCCATCTTGTACATTGTTTTTTCCTTCAGAACTGCAGAAGATGAGCCATCTCTATGCAGGTTATACCATAAGTTTTCTCATAAGTCAGACTCACTTTTATCCCCCTCAAAAGTGAAGAGACAAAGCAAGATAATTAAGTTGCGATGAGCTGCAATATTGAGAAATTAAACTGGCCCATGTACCCAAGGTCTTCCTTCCTTCTGTCCTTCCTTCCTTCCTTCCTCCCCTACTGTGATGCCCTGCAAAGGGTAGACACTTTGAGTGGGTGATCTTTCAGAGGTTGAGATTTTTCATATGCAATTTATGAAAGCTTCTTTTCACTGGAGCCGTATACTTTACATCTGCTGTGTAGATTTTCACGGTGGTTGGCTACGTATGCTAGTCTTTTACATTTTGCTATGCCAAAATGCCTAGCTTTACACTAGTGTTGCTGATATCTTGCATCATTTGGCACACAGATTGCAGACTTATTGTTCTGTGCAGAACGGCTCTTCTTTGCTCTTGGCGTTCAGTGATGACAGAGGAGGAAGGGACAGGCTTCCACTGACGACACTGGTGCCCTTTGATAGCGTTACCGCTGCGTCTCAGCCTAGCAGCTGACACCACTGACACTTCTGTTTTGGCGTGTTTGACTTGGGCTGATTCCCGTTACCTGTTACCAGATTCCTCTCTCTTTTGTTATCTCTGACATTTTGAGCTAGATTACAATCTGTTTTCTTGGGAAAATAGGATGTTGGGGTAAGACCTTGCTAAGAGTAGAAATCATACAAAATAAAAAGTGTACTGAAAATAAGAAACCCTAGTTTGATGATCTGTTGTTTTGGGTTTGTGGGGGTTTTTTTGTTTGTTTGTTTTTTAACCTTAACATTTTGAATGGGATTTCATCTGACTGTGTTTCTAATAAAGAGGTGGGAAAAAAATACCTTCTTATTTTAGGCCGTGTAGGGTTATTCAGCTGCTGTAGTCACCGTTACTAAATTCTCAGCTTATCTCAATATTTCCATGTAAATATGGGTAGTCTGCTCAGTGCACCTGTACACACAGAACCATACCAGGGGATTCTGTAAGATGCCTTATCCAGCCCCTCAGATACTTTGTGGTGTTGGTACATGCATTCTTGAGACAAGCTTTTTTATTACCTGTATGTCTACTTCCCATCTCTTGCATGTCTAAATTACTCTTCTGAAGAGAGAAGCATATATACATTTCTCAAAACCCACTTCATAGATGCACAAAATCTTGGCTCCTATAAAAAAGAAAACAAATGCTTCTACATGTGAACTGCTTACAGAGAAATCAAATAATTATCTTTTTTTCTTTATTTACTTTTTTTTTTTACATTGCTGTCAGTGCAGTAAGATGTAAATAGCATCATTCCTGTTGTGTCTAGACAGATAGTGTTAAACCTCCCCTTGAAAGCTCATCTCTTTTACTTTGGTCTTGCTCTTACTCTGACTAAAGTACCACTGAACAATGAAAACTCCTTCCTTCCTCATTGACTTTGTACGGTAGTGATTGTGGAATTAAGATGATGTGAATAGACATTTTGGGGAATTTGCATGTGTTGAGAATGAAGAAGGATGATGTTTATTAAGTAGTGCTAGAAAGGCAGATTAATTACAACAGGAAAGTACTTGTGGTCAAGACTCACTCAGGAGCTCTTTCATATTTTACATCTTAACAGGCTTATTGTTTTGTGGCTGAAGTATGTAATACAGAATTAGTCAGGCTAGGAAAATGGAACTTCGGAATGAAAAATAGTAACATTAAAACTTGATTAACACTAAGAAGACAAATACCTGTACAATTTGTAGAGCTATTCTGAGTCCTGGAATCACAAGGATATGTGGCCATAGAATGAAACAAACATTTAATGTGTTGACGTTTAGTTCTGCATATGTCATGTCTGTGAAGTTGAAACAGTCACTATAAAATAATTTTAATGCTTTTAATGATTGCTTTTATACTGCCCTTTTTCTGTATGGCTGCTTGTCACTTAAATAACAAAGAACCACTATGGAAATGCAATGTGGGGTGTTTTTAATCGGACAAAGAAATAATAGCTGAATATTTTGGGGTTTAATATCTTTTACTGAATTAGATAGTTTATGGGTTATTTCACTGCTGGGATTGGGCTCAGTGTTTGTACATCTCAAGCGATGGTGCAGTGAACTGCTGTTATATATGGCTTTGGCTAATTACCTTAGTGAGTGACAGTTTTCTTTTTTCTTCCATATTAGAACCGTCCATCCGTAATCACCTGTGCTTCTGCGAACAACCGGAACTGTAACCTCTCTCATTGCCCCATTGCTCACAGTGGCTGCGGTTCAGCCATGCCTGCCTACAGAAGACCCTCTAGCAGTAAGTTACATGTCGGCACTCTTAACTGCCTGAGGAGAATTTGAGGAGCTCAGAATTGTCTCACTAACCTTAACTGTGTAGGCACTGATGTATTACAGGAATAAAAGGAGGTGAAACAATAGACACCTCTTTGTATCCTGTCTACTCAGAGACATGCTACCACAGATCTCCTCTGCAGTCTTTCTAACCATCAATTCTATGCCACAGTAGAAAGTACCAATTCAAAATTAAGGAGAGAGAGGTGTCCTTTTTTTCTTGTTTTGAAAAGCTTCTTTAAAAAAACAAACACCCCACACAGACAAATAAGTCATTATGTTTATTTTAGTCTTAACTGGCAAACAGCAGACAGGGCCAGCAGATCCAACCATGCTCTTATTTTAGGAGCTGTAGTTTCCCCAGTCTTTCAGTAGTCAGTAGACTTTTATGATTCGGCTACAGTCACAAAAATCTTTTCCTGCAGATACAAATGCTCTTCCAAAGCACATATCTTCCACCTTTCTCTGCATGGGTAACACAAACAGCTTTGGAGGGCAGTTGCTATAGCAACCCAAGCAGGGAGCTTTAGCTTTCTACCTTCTGTGCAATTAGTACTTTTCATGAAATCTTTTCATGCAGTACTTGCTGGGAAACCTTTGGATGTTTCTCTTCACTGTGCGACTAGGGGAAAACACAGCCCTTTCATTTCAAGTCATATACCTGCTGATGCATAGCTTTAACACACAGCATTTCCTTAAGTTCATGGCAGTGAGGCTTCATCAGCTAGAATGTGTTGATGTAACAGTACCAGTATGACGTAGGTCAGAGCCTAAAAGTCCACAGTAGGGTGGTGGTGGTTGTTGTTGATATTAAAAAAAGATCAGTGTATTGTTGAAAACTAGAATTAGAAGCTGAAGCGAGACCCTGGACGATATCTCACACTATCTTAGAGAAATCAATAGCTAGGGATCTAAGATGTTAGAAAATTTCTAGAAAACTGCCGTTACTTGTCTAAGGAGAGCTGCTTTGGTGAGACCCCAGCTGTATTCACATGGGCTTTGGAACAGTGGTAAACGTTTTCAGAAAATATTTGTCTCTTGTCACTTGAAGAAGTCTTTGTGCATGACACATTTATTTTAGGATCAGTCAAGCCTTTCTGTAGCATGAAGGACAATGTCATGGATCTGACAGTTTTGAGTTCTTTTTGAAAGATAAATCTCATTTAGACACATAGATATTGTATCCAAATTGTAAAACTGCAACTCTTGTATTTCGTCTGAGGAATTATTATTGTTATTGTTCAAAACCTGTCTTTTAAGATTCTTTGTTCCTCTTGTAATAGTAGTACACCATTTTAACGCTTGTAGTACCTCATGCAGAGGTAATGATTCATTCAGTTTTCTGACTGGCTCCTAGCACAAGTATGTAAAGTAAGATGAAACCCTGAAATCAGCTTTTGGCATGCTGTAATTTAGAATGAGGTCTCCTCACATCTGACTGGTACCAGCAGGCTTGGGAGCTGATTTTAAAGAACTGTTTCCATCTTTGATTCTGTTTAAGCCTAAATAGAAGTTCTGTGTGATTGTTTTGGGAGAGGGTTTCCATAGAAATCAGAGCTGTAGCTGTTACTAGCCTGAGGGGGAACTGTAATTAAATATTAAATGCTTACCTGTTGCAGGCCACAGAAATGTAAAAATATTTAACTCCATAGTTCTTTTCATTTCAACTCCTTCCATCTTCTTCCCCACCTCATTCACTAACAGTTCTATCATGATGCAAAGAAGTCTTGCTTTATGCTGAGATGATAGGAAAACGGGAGAAAACTCGGGTTCTGAATCCAGTACTTGGTGCCGGGATTCTGCACCGAAATAACACATCTTGTGCCTCCTTTCCCCGTCTAGCTACCACTGCCTGTGACCCAGTGGTGGAAGAGCACTTCCGCCGAAGCCTTGGCAAGAATTACAAGGAGCCTGAGCCAGTGGCAAACTCTGTGTCCATCACAGGATCAGTTGATGACCACTTTGCCAAAGCACTTGGGGATACATGGCTTCAGATTAAAGCTGCGAAGGACGGAGTCTCTAGCAGTCCTGAGTCTGCTTCACGGCGGGGCCAGTCTTCCCCTTCCTCTCACATGGTCAATCATAATCACTCGCCCTCTGTAGTCTCATGAAGGGAGGACCGTTACGTTTGTGAATTTGCATGGTTTGACTGAGCTTTGAACAGTGCTTAAAATAGTGTTGGGGGAGGGGAGATTAGTTTTCAACACATGGGTTTGTGTACTCACTTTTTATTTGTAAAAGGGTGCCCTTAAAGACGATAGCAGGAACTATTTCATAAAGATTCATATGATGTAGCATCCTTTTTTCCTGCCTCAATTACCAAAGAAACCTCTGATGCAAATCTGCTGCCCCTTAAAAAAAAAAAAAAAAAAAAAAAAAAGCACGCTAATCCACAAAAGCCATTACACTTAGTTGGTTGACCCAAATGCTTTTGCTTTTATTAGCTTCTTGAGACTAGAATTTGTCTGGTTTGCTTACATTGCCTTTTATTTTTTTTTTTTCCCTCTGTGAAGTAATTTTGTATGTATATACTTGAAAAGAACTGTCATGTATGATTTGCACTATTGGAGGAGGACTGAAGTTGCATAGCAACTTTCTGGAAGATGCTAATATTTTGAGGGCAAACTGCTGAAAAAAGGGTTTAAGGATGACATTTCTATCAGTTTGATTTTTCTTAAAGCAAAACAGCTTTGGAAGGGGAAGTCTCATACAGGTTATAGGTCTTTCTCTCTTTAGATTTCAGGTGCTTAGTGCTTGCAACTGGACTGCATAATTTACAGAACACGGGCATTTTTTCCTAAACACTGCAGTTTGTTAGAATAGAGCTGAAGTTGGAGGGTTCCATAGTGCTTAACGATGCATGTTTTATGAAAAATAGCTGGTATCTATTAATGTATAGACAGTAAGAATCATAATACTTATTAGCTTTTCTTCAGAATTAGTTTATTTTTGTCAGTAACAATCCTAGATATACTTACTGCTGGTACAGTTGTACTCTATGATATTTGTATTTGATATTCACTTTAGTAGCAGCCAGCAAAAGAGGACAGCCTCAGGACAGGCCTCAAATGACGCAGTTTAGAGATATACGATGCGTGGTACAGGATGCTATAGCTTTGCGCATGACTGAGTAATTGTTTCTGTCTGCAGCACTGTCTGCTTAACAGGAATTTGCTTCCTAAAACTAAGTCTGTGTAATCCACCTTTAACTAGCTGCAGAAACTGCTACTGTTACGTATCTTGGCTGGACAACAGATTGTTACAGTTTGTGAAATATGACCTTTAATTTTTTTTAAGCTTATTCATAAGCCTATGCCAAGTTGCAGCATACATTCCTCCATTAGAAAACTTTATACAGGTATTACTGCATTTATTATCACTTGCTATATTAATAGCTACTAACTAGAAATTAGGCAATAGAGGCAGGCATAAAACCACAGCTGTGCTAGTACTAAGAGCTTCTCTTCTTCTTGTTAAGTGTAACTACTCTCCCCCATACATTCCGTCTTCCCAGTACAGTTGCAACTAGGGCTTTTTTTTTATACTGGGTTACCTGAAATGATTGGTTCAGTGTAGAAGGTAGAACTAGTTGGAAGATGAACTATACGTGATGTATTCTGGACTATGTTACAGTATTGGGTCCATTGTGGCTTTTATTTTATGTTTGTTTTTTTTTAAAAGTTAAGCTATTTAATTTGGAAAAGGTGCAGGGTAGAAAGAGATTGGGAGATTGGCTCTTACTCCTGTTGAGAAGGTGGCTGCTCAATTTTCTTCAAAAAAAAATTAAAAAAAAAAAACCACAAAAAAAAACACCTAAGCCCCCAGTTTTACACATTTCACTACCATCTTACTGGGTAGTCAACGCTTACTTGCTTTGGCATTCAGTACCCTACTCTCTGTAGGAAGATTGTTAAAAGAACACTTTTTTATATAGGTAACTTTAAGACCATCGTTACGCTGTGCGTAAAGAATGTACAGAGAAATTTGTAGGTATTTTTTGAGGAACAATTAATTTGTTAATGATATGTAGCTATTTAATTTTTCCCTTTCCTTTATTGTAATCATTCATTTTTTTTGTTTGGAGAAAAAAGTTGATCTTTTTTTTTTGTTGTAGATTTGTCTGTAATACAGTAAAAGTGCAGGAACACAGTTATTCTATGAGAACACTGCATTAGCATTAATAGCCACTAGTTTGTTACTGCTACAGGCTACTGAGCATTATAACAGTAAAATACTAATACTGTAGATGGACTCTGTGGAAAATGTGACTCCTATATTTCTTTGTAAACACAAATAAGATAATGTTTTTAAAGCTAATATTTTCAATAATAGCTGTTTTACAAGGTTACATTTACTTATCTGAGATAGGTAAATGGATTTGAGGGCAATAAAGATTTAATGTGATATGTCCATTAAAAAACATATATTAGACACCATAATGTCATGAAAGCCAAAGGGTTGGGGGGAGGTAGAAGGAAACTAAACTGAACTCACCATCAGGAGACGTGGTGAAGTTTCTTCACAGAGCCAGGTTATCTACAGTTCAGTTTGAAAGATTCTCTCTGTGTTTGTAAATCTGTAATATACCATTCTTTTGTGGCCTTGTTTCACCTGGAAAAAAAAAAGGTTTGGCAGGCCATCTTTTTTTTTTTGTACTTAAAAGTAGCCTTAAAGAACAATAAAGTGCTCTTAAATCACAAGTGTGTACATACTCTTCTGTATTGCTTGGTAAGAGGGGAAATTGCTTTCTGTACTTCATGAGCTGGAAGCAGAAACAAACTACTGCTCATGTCATCTCGTTTAGGACCGTTACCCCATTGAAGGGGCCGGATAGCTGTACTCTGGGTTTGGGGGTTTGTTTTTTCCCCTACGAGTTCAGGAGTTTGTCAAGAAACAGTCTTTACAACTACGAAGGAACCTGTTGCTGCCAGGGCAGAGATGGACAGAAGCACCCCCGGCTTTAGGAGGACGCCTCTGGGCACTGAACGAACGCGCGCTGGCAGCAGTCCCACTGGTCAGGTCCTTAAGCGTTTGCCTGGTACCGCTCCATACGGGGCTGAAGCAGCTGTTCCTGTTCTAACGTAGCTCACCAGCAGCAGCTCCTGTTCAGTTACCATTTTGGAAAACACCAGCTAGTCAAGCATTTCTCTCCTGTTTATGAAAAGACCAATGCCTTCATTTTCTTCCATTTTGTTTTGTCCCGCAACTTTCTTCAAGTTTTATCTAGAGAACAGAAATTACTCCCTAAAGAAGACAGACAGCTGTATTTCAAGGGAAGACATCCATGGTCTTGTGTTTTGGGTGAGCAGCATTCAAAAGAAGATTGATCATTCCTTTGACTGGAGAGGTTTAATCCTTAAAAACAAGTGTTCTAATTACCAAATCTTGAGAAAGATCAGTGAACCAGGTGAGAGCCTTCAGAGGAATTTCAACACTGAATGCAGCAGAGGTGTCTCCAAAATTAAAAAAGGAACCCCTAAAAACAGTGAGCTACAAAGTTCCTAGTGTATTAGAAGTGCCTAAATTGTTTGAAAAACAAAGCAGTCATGACATGCATGTACATTGTTAAAGTAAATGGCTATTTTTGGGGTGTGGGAGATTCCATGAGAACACATCAAGAATGATTAGTTTAACACATCTGAAAAACATCCCTCTCTAAATACCCGTGGAAAGAAGCCTAAATACATGCTTTAAGAGCTTTTGGGAGGGAGGCCAACTACAACAAGCCTCACAAGCCTCTCAGTCTGCTTTCTGAAGGGAGCTGGTTTCCTTTTAGGAAAAAGTCATCCCTACATCAACATTTTGGGGACTACGGGAAACAGGACAAGCAGCATTGCTATCTTTCAGGTCAGTAACTTGAAGAGTGTTCTATTTTCTACATGGTAAAAGGAAAAAGACAGTAATTTTTTTTCCTACCACGTGATTTTTCTAATTCGCAGCAAGCAGTAATTTTGCACAAAAGGGTAGCACCATGGCCTAGGAAAATGGGACTGTACACACGCATTTCATATTATTAAGTCCTATATTATTTGTAACGGCTTATCTTTTTCTGTGAGCTAAATGAAAGGCAACTTCCAGCTATGTGTTTGTAATCTCACCCCTACACACACACACTTTATTTTTGCTAATTTAATTCAAACCAGAATTTAATTTCAAAAACAGACCTGCCATCACAAATATACTAGGGACTGAGTTCAGATCTTCCTGCATAGTTCAGTGAGTAACCTCTGCTGAATACAGTTTCTATGTATTGCAAGCTGCTTTAGTTGTGGAAATGACCTTTACGTACAAATAGATGGTGACAGTTTGAGACAATAGCGGTACAGCAGGAGTATAGAGTTGTGTGTAGGTACATGGGCAGTATGTCTCTGTACTGGCTAAACCTGTAGTAACGGTGTCACTGGTAAACAACCGCTGAACCTGTCCAGCAGATTGTGCTTACCCAATAGGGCTGAATGTTTAGGTCCTTTAAAACTAAAAACGCACGAAGCAGCAAAGGGAGTTTATAGGCAGTACCGTGCTCAGTTCTGATCCCAGGGTCTGTGCTGAATGCAGGCATATTGAAGTCAGATGGCTCTAGAGGTTCCTGCCACTGCTGCAGAGAACTCAGCAGGGAACTACTCCAGCTGCTCATAAAGCAGCTACACTGCTACACAGTGTAACTAACTAACTGAACTGTTAGACTTTAAAACTGGCAGATGCACAAAACTCAAAATTGTAACCAGTTCGCCATGGCAGACTGGAGCTGTAACTGCACCAGTTCAGAAGCTGCTCCACAAGCAGCAGCTGAACTGTCACTGCAGCTGGGCTGAACGCTCCCAGAGGGGTGCAGGGGGCTGCTGGGGGTGGGAACAAATCCAGCTGTTCCTAGGAGGCCAAATCAGTCAGCAGAGAAAAGCTCTAAAATTGTCTTTCAGCCTTGCTCAGAAGCCTTTGTGCAGCAGCAGTTAGGAGCACTCCCTGCTTCCGCTGTACTACTTATGTTACAAAAGAGGTGATCCACAATGGCTGTGTGAATGAACACGCCAACATGTCACGTTGCTTAACGTGATACCCTGGCAAAACACATCAGAAGTATTTTAAATGTTATTTGTGGAAGAGCTCTACTCACCAGAGTTGGCACGCTTACGCTTGGCTGAGGGGAACATTCACCACTATCTTTAGAGCCTTCTCGAGGAACAGCGAAATAAGAAACCAGTCTGCATCTTCCTGATACACAGAAGCTTCCATTTCATCTGGCGTGGATACAGACCCAAGTACGTTACACACAGCGTCTCCCGCTCTCCCCCCTTAGCAGACAGTTATTACACAGCAGGATTATGTTGCGTGTTGAAGCACACTTTGTCCTTGAAGGGCCCATGACAGGAAATATACCAATTTAATAACTAAAATACACCAATTTAATATTTTTTTAACCTCCCCTTCAATGAGAACATTCTGCCCCTGTCTGTGGAACAGCTAGCTCAAGTGCATTTCTTGGGTATAAGACAGCCAAGGTAGATAATTTAATTCCTTATTTTTAACCGGCAGTTACCTATAGCTCCACAGCAGCCATATACAGCAGCTGCCTTGTTCTTCAGACACAGCTCGCCTCTTTCCCCTCGGTGCTCTCCTGTCACAGCACACAAGGCAGCAGCACTACGTGTCTCCAGAGGTGCACGAGGGAGAGCTCCTCAGAGCGTGTGCTCTGTCGCAGGAGTATGTTCACCTCCTGGGGTAGCGAGGATTTTCTGTGGCTTTTACACCCAAGAGAGGTGCTGGGAGGCTCCCAGAGGCAGCACTCCTCACCGAGTGACATTTAATACACATACGGGTTTTTTTTCTCCATCAGCAGGGCACAAGCGTTGAAAGAGACCAGCAGACCTGCGGAGGTATTACTTACCTCTGTGTGTATGGCAAAACCAGCAATATAACCACTTCAGTACGTGGCCTTCCCACTGGTGCTCAACCTTCAGTCTTGAAACCACCTTGATTGTAGCAAAGTTCTGAGTGCGTTCAAGCCTAAGCCTGCCCAACCGCTGTCCCAGGGGGACGCTGTCACTAACCAGTCACTTCTGGAGAAAAGATGAGGGGAGAGCAAGTCATTTCTTCTTTGATCTAGAGCCACAGACACCACTTCTTTCTCCAGTGCTCTCATTTCATGTTTTCTCTGAGACATTTAATAGTTCACAGCAAACTTGGGTGTCTTAATAACACCCTCAGCACAGGCTGAAAACAAGCTGCAGAAGACCACCAAGTCCAGCGTAGCATAGTCATTGCAAAAACAGTGGTTAAATTGCAAGACAATAAACTAAGCTTTATTTTTTAATTAAAACTCCAAGGACAAATCTGGTCCCTGGTACATTTTATCTGACATAGAAATGGTAGAAGGAGCACCTTGCAACAGCTGGGAATCTTCCACGGAGTTCTGGAGCTTTTTTTAGCTCAAAACTACAGTTTGAATTCCTAAGTCTTCAGTCTTCCGCCACACAATCCTAATCAGGTGATGCACTTCCTCAGTGTTTGTCCACGTTTACTCTAGACTAACTGGTGAGCTCGGCATTAGGTTTGGTTTTTATTTGCAGAAAAGTTTCAAATCATTCTGCTCGGCAAATCTGATCATCGCATTTATAGAAACCCACAACTCTACACAGGCAAGTTCCAGTGAGCGGAGCGGAGCACGAACTACTCTGCTAGTGGGACCCCTCTGCAGGCTGCTCTGCACACACGCCCAGGACAGGGAAACATCACCGTCTTGGGGAAAGCACGCGGCCTCTTTGCTGACGTGCTCAATATTCCTGAACTTCACTCACAGGAT